AAACTGCTTTTTATTATAGCTATCTGTCTAATCCGACTTGAAACACAAAAAATAACATGTAAAACTAATTCGATTTGCATAAAAAATGAAAAATCGACTTTTTTCGTTTCTCTTCGGTAAACACTGTTTGATTTAGTAAATTATTTAACAAACTTACAGATGTTGGGAGAGAGAAAAGTAGGTTACGAAATCTCTTCATGTATTACAATAGTACAAGCGTCGACACAGTAGGATTAAAATCCATGACTGACGACATCCTGTGAAACAAACTTTGTTGTCGTCATGCACGCGGCCCTCGTGCTGTCTGCGCTCGTGCTCTGTCTGACTGTGCACGTGCATTCTCGAGGTAAGAAAATAAGATTTCTCTTATATATATATTATTTTAATTTTAATAAATCATAATAAAATCAGACAATTAAATTTGTTTGAAGATATTATGTTCTTTAACAAATATATAGAGGATATTTGTTTGTTTGTGTGTAAGATGAAATTTTATTTCATCGAGTGGGCTTTAAAAACAGTATTCTCACGAGTGGCGTAGCCACGAGTGAGAATACTGTTTTTAAAATTCACGAGATGAAATAAAATTACATCTTACACAACAAACAAACAAATATTCTTTTTATTTTATGCTAAAAAACAAGTTAAAACGAAATTTCCATAATATTAACGTAAAAATTAAAATCTGTTTTCCCCATTGAGAGCCCCATTTAGTCGGAATTTCTCATTAAAACAAGAAGTCTTGAGCTGAAAATTCAGTCCCACAATCAACGTTAAATGACAGTGATATTATTTATTTTATTAAAAAATATGAATGATCGCTTGTTGTAATAATAAAAACTATCCATCCATATTTCTGTTACTTACTGCGAATTTATATTAGACCTGGCTTTGTTAAATGTAAGCGGCAGCCATTTTTTAAAGTTGTGTATTTCACGGGAGGAAAATAATTGTGTTTGATTCAGACGGATATCATTTGAATTTGTTAGTTATACACCCTTTTAAAAGAAAGAAAACATATTTGATGATTGTAACATACAAAAAATAAGTGTTGACAGATGTGAAAACATTTAAAAAAAAAACAGCTATGAAAATGGAAAACTTGGAACTTGCTCAGGAACGCTGGGTAGTTTACTTGTTCTACGAGCTGATGGCTGTCATTGCTTTTCAATTTTTCATAAAGCATACGGCAGTTATTGCTCGTAGGATACTTTAATATGCTCAAATGTCATCAAGAGCAATTCGCATGTGGAAGGTATGTATTTTTCAGACTGTAAAAATGAAACAAAAAATTAAGAGACGAAATTTGGTGATTGGAATATGAATGAATAGAAGTAACTTTCTTCTTTATATTACTTTTGACATTTAAGTTATTTATCAATTTCAGCTTTGCGTTTTCTTTAAACAGCCTGACATTGTCAGAATTGTTAGCAAAAATAAAACTGAGGTACCACATGGGAAAAATCTTAAAAAAGTAGTTTCGTCATTGAAAAGTGTGAAATTATATTTTGATAATTTTCACTGTGAAATTATCAAATATAATTTTCACGGATAAATCAGTAATCCACTGAAAAGCATAAAATAAACAGTATTATTTGCTGTTTTATGACGTCAGTTATGGGCTGTCTCGTTACTAAAATCAATCATATCGAATCTGTACAATTTACCTTCATTTCACTGCTCTCGTTAGATACCCTTTTAAAAGTAATAAATAAATTCTGAAAAAAATTAACATAGAAAAAATAAATACATTACATTGTTCAATACAATGAATTTACATTACAAACTTGTAAAACATTCATTTTTTTAATGTCAAGTAAAATATATATAATTTATATCGGGTATTTAAGTGATTTTCCAATAAATAAAATAGGTACCATGATGTTGGGGATAAACAATGTTGCATGTAATTAAATATACAATGCAAGAGTGATAGTCAGAAAAAAGTGTCTACGTCTCACATATTGCTTATAAAGATACATGAATTATTCTAGATAATCTGAAGACAACAGGCAATTAACATAAGAAATATGTCAAAGTAATTAGAATAAGCCAAGATTTAATAGAGTATGATGCATCATAGAAAAAAGGAAAAAAGGGAAATATTTCACGCTATTACATACGCCGAAATTTATTGTTTATAATATTTTAGTGAATTTTTTTTTTAAGTTAGATTTTAATTCTATATTTCATAAAATTATTTGATTTGAACAAATATTCAAAACCAAGTTAGTTCAAACATAATATATTAAAGGTTGATTCTTAGAACTGTTGAACAAGTTCTTAAATATTATATATGTTACTTTCTAACTTACTTAACAAAGATAGTTAGACAAGACTCAAATAGACCCTATACGAACATTTTGGTTAAAAGGCACACAATGTCACCTCTGGGTCACCGCTTGCTGTAATATCATACTGGAGATTTTATAATAAAACCTTATGTTGAAACCAGAATTTATCTGTTTAAATTTGAAACTGATAAGCTAATGATAAATTATTACATGTAATTTTGATTGAAATTTCTAGTGATCTGTAAACGTTTTTACATCGTATTTGTATGCGCATCTATATCATAGAGCAAAGGTGTTAATGAAGAAAAAAATTAGTTAATTGGTGCCATTTCGATCGTATATTATTGCGTGTAATGATTTCTGAATTATTCAAAATGTCAGCCTTTTAGAAATTGTTTTTCATAAAAAGTTATCTCAATTTAATCATTAACTGTTTACTAATGCGTTAAAATGAAAGTCCAAACATGTATATATTTTATGAGGTATGTTTATCAATAGTTGATGACAATAGGTATAGAATAGTGCAAAGGTCATCGTCCTTGGCGCGTTTTACCAACATTGTTGAGTAAATGATATGATGTAAAAACTAGAATCATGTAAAAAAAAAAAGTTAAAATATAAAAATGTATTGAAACATGTAAGTCTGATAAAAAATTTTCCTCCTTATCATTTTATCATTCGAGTGTTGTCCACAATTCTAAGATTTATATAATATATTACTGTTGTTTCTTACAGGGGCGCTGAAAAATTTCGGTAACGGATTTCAGGCGAATGGAGGAGTGTTCGGACAGTTCGGATATGCAAGCGGTAATATTCTATATCCGCCTAGATATACTCCAGTAGGTGGTCCGATGCAGACCTTCAACAAAAATGCATGGAATGGTATCAGTAACAATAATGGTTACTACAATAATCAAATGGGGCCAGTTAGGGGATTCGGCATGCCGTTTGGAGGAATCGAAGAAGAAAACAGCATCGGAACTGGACCATTTGGCTTTAATACTGGTCCAGGTATAACTAGTGCTATGTATCAACCAGCAAATCCAGGGAGAGCTTTTCCTGTAGGCAGATATACAGGAGAGAATGATAATGACGACCTTGATGGTTATGACGATTACATGAGAGGTGGCAGATATGGGCCAAGACGTTTTCTAAATGATCGTCGAAATAGGTTCCCTGCTAGAATGTTTCCCAGGTTCCCAGGAATGACTGGAAACGATGATAATGACTTGGACATTGACGATGATTTTGATGATTTATTCGATGATGACTTTGATGATGATGATGATGATGACATTCTTGATGAACTACTTGATGACTTGTTTGACGACGATGATGACTTCGATGATCTATTTGACGATGACTTTGATGACGACGATCTTGAAGAACTTTTTCTTCTTAGTTTGCGTAGACGTGGATTAAGAGGATTTCCCGGTTTAAGAGACTTTCCAACGAATGACAGAAGAGAACGCTATAGAGGTCTTGGTCGAATGGGAGGTTTCGACGGTACGACGCGATATCCAAACCTTGGAGTATCTGGTGGTATATCCCAATATGGAGGATATAGCGGCATGTTCGGCAGATCTGGTAGAACATCCCGGTATGGAGAACCTACCGGTTATGGCAGACCAAACGGTCGGATTAGAGGAAATCCTAACTCACGCAGATTTGGTTTCAGCAGAAGAAATATGGATTTTCCACGACCTGGTCGAATACCATACAGGGGCTCTGGTGTCGGACGATACGCCGGTGAGGAGAATGATATTGAAGGAATTGGTGGTCCGAATAGAAGAGAGATTTCCAACTATCGTTCCTATGGCAATTATAATGGTAGACCTAGGAGAAGAAGACAAGGTGGCAGTAATAGACTTCATTCCAGGCCTCGTGTTCAATACTACAAATGTAAATGCCAGAAGAAATGTCCAAAATATAAGATCAACACTGGAAAATGTAAAAGGTGTAAGAAAAAGAAGAAATGTAAATTATTCCGATGCTGTTTGAGAAGAAGAATAAGAAAAAAGCCAAAGAAAGGATAAGGTGAGAGTTACTCCGAGAGTGAAAGTATATTTTATATATCATTGCTTTCAAATATCTATTATTAGCAGCGCGACTTCAGACAGTTTTAAAACTTACTTATTGTATTAAGCGTTTGTTACATTGACCTCCATTGGATAGTCGTAACGTCTTTATTATTCATTATCTATATATACGACTGCAGCATATTAATAAACTTTTTTTGTCAAAAATAACATTTGTGTAGTATTGTTGGTTATATTAAACAGTTATTTGCTATATGTTTCCCACCGATTATTCTCAGCAATGTTATCATGACAAAAGCTTTAATAATACCTTATATTTACTGAAAATAATGTGTTTGTCACTACCTTTATCTATTCAAGAAGCCCAACTTGTTCCGTCTAAGCTATGTACATGTATATACTATATATAGGCTAGTATACTATATAGTATGTTAATGTTGTCATTATGTTTATCTGAATTATGCCGTATTTCAAATAAATCTGTGTTATATCTGTTTTAAGGTATTTAGCAGATACACTTATATGTATATATAGATACTGTATACGATATTTATATAAATTTCATTTCAGATATACAAAGTGCGGCGTCTTTTAACAAAATGCAATAGTTGTTTTTATCGGATACCCGGTCTTAAATTGAAAACTAGAATGAAAAGCAGTTTGATATTTCACCAGTTTGAAACTTTTTATACATGCATTGATTATTAAAGAATTCAATTTACCATCTTCAATTTTTATCATTTTGAATTTATATTAGGTGTATCTTACCTAATGTGATCACGTGACTTTGATTAAAATCAACAGATTGTAGAATCAGATGTTCAAACCAAAGCAAATCTTCATTTGGTCATTCTGTTGTCCAGATGTAACAAATTGCTGGTATATAACATTTTAGATTAGTCTTGGCTTTAAAAGAAACAAATTTAACCTCGCAGCCTTAATGGACTCCATTATATAAGTTGCTCAAATTAGTACTTTGAAATCTCTTGAACTAGATGTTATCCGGAACTAGGCAAATGTGGGTTTTCCCCAGCTAATCCCTAGGTACAAAAATATTTTACCATTATAGCTTTACGAAGCCCTACCAGAACAGAACAGAATTACCAGTCAACCTATTGCGCTTATTTTCGAAGCTGTAACTGTAAAAGTTTGTTTGTACCTACGGATTAGCAAAATCAGCGACTGATAAAAATTCATCAATTTCTAAGAAAACTATCCTTAATTTTACTTAGTTTCGTTTATTTATGTACATAAGGCATGAAAATTATTTATATTACTTTTGTATATTTTACGCATTCTAGTATAACGGTAATTTCGTTTTTCTTGTAAGGTAATTATATCAAGTCTGAATACTTTCTCAAACGCAATAAGTGGTCACTCAAAGTCTAGACAAAAATTAAGGATATGTAAATGTCCTTTAATAGTTTGTGTTTGCCATTTTACTTTACATGTTAAATAAAGTTAAAAAAAACATTTTACGCTCTACATATTGTAATTGATGTTTGTTCATTAACATTTTCAACAGGTAAAAATTTGTTCACGTTATACATGTATATCAAAGAAATATAATCAACACATTTGTGATATGTAATTGTAAATTAACATATTTCTCATTCTAAATTTTGAGTGCAAATGCATATTCCCTAATTAAACTTTAATAAAATTATTTTTTTATTTTTTTTTATTTATTTTTTAATTTGGAAATAACGAATTGCATCTTCAGTGTATGTACTTAGTATTACATGAAGTTTGACGAACAGTCAAGGTGAATATGCTTAAACACTACAGATTAATATATCTAAAATAACACTCCATTTCGTCACAACCAATGTGTTATACATTTGTTATTTAATTGATGATGTCTTCAAACATTAAATAAGAACATAAAGGTTTGTGTTAAGTGTATAACTAGACTGTAAATCAGATAGGCAAATCTGACAGGAATTCATTTGATCTATACCAAACTTTAACAGATTTTTATGTGATTTACGGCAAACTTAAGATTATTAAAATTTAGCTTTATTAATGATTTGGTAGTCTTTCTGATTTAATTTTCTTAAAAATGTATAACTTTTCTTAAAATGGTAATAGCTGTGTATAGTAAAGCCTAAGACATTTTATATAAGACGCGAATATGTATGACTATGTTATTTCAAACAATTAAAAATAGTTTTCTTAAAATACTAATACAATAACAGTATTTACCTTAAAAATAAAATACATTCAATTATATAAATGCATGATTTTATATAAAATAGATTTCTTTTTGCAAATTATAAAAGCAAAACTAAAGTGTTGCATTAGAGAAACATACGGTGGCACAAAGGTGACATGGGTGTATTTTTTAATTATCTCGGGATACTATGTGGTGGCCATCGTAGAAACACGTCAAATGAAGCCGAGTTAAACACACCATTTTTCTTAACTGTGACACCCCAGCACCGCCCTAAAGTATTTGTTAACTTTACGTAGGTTTCGTTTCTTTACTATCTAATTAAAACAACGTAAATAATGTTAAATGTTTTCATACGGCTTATATAATGTTCCAAAGAATTTTTTTCTCAGAAAAGATCTAGTTAATACATATATAAATCTCCATGACATAGTTATGTTTTATCTGTATCAAGTTCCGGTTCCACTATTTTTGAACGATTGTCATTTTACTGGTACGAATTAATCGGTTGGGTATAAGATTTTTTTCTTTTATATAGATATCAAATTTTTTCTTCACTGGTGTTTTCAAGGATGATAATGATTTTATTTTGATGCATGCTTCAGAACATTTCAAACATTACTTATAGTAATAAAACCAAATATACTACTAGAAAAATTAGATAATTTACAATTAGACAGAACGTTAATTAACTGAGAGTGTACACCTGTGTTTTTTGAGAGCACAGGTGTACAATACAATACATCATTGTGAAAAAACAAAATATCACGATTTCAACATTACTGAAATATCACACTTTCAACATTACTAAAATATCACACTTTCAACATTACTTAAATATCGCACTTTCAAAATTATTTAAATATCACACAACATTACTAAAATATCACACTTACAGTATTACTAAAATGTCACACTTTCAATAATCAATGTTTTAATTCCAAATAGCCTAAGAGCCAAGGGCCATTTGATCAAAATTTTGTCCAAATCTAAGACTTGCACCAGAGCAAGTATATATAGTCTCTCCTTTTACAAAAATCCAAATCTTACAAAATTTTGCTTTCACAACGCTTCAGAATCCAAGATGGCGTCCATTATGGCCGTCGATTATATGCAAAAACGTGTATATATATTATTATAAAGCAAAAATTATGCCGTTTTCGATAAAAAGGTGTACAAACATTTCAGAAATAATCAACTTATTATTAAATAACAATAAAATAAATAGCTTTTCAGGTTTCTGTCTTAAATTTTCAAAATATTAAAGAATAATACTTATTTCTGCACATTGTTCTATACGGTTACCTAAAAATAAAATGGTGCAATATAAAAACTTTAAGAAAACAATATTAGAACTTTAAGAAAACAATATATAAGAACTTTAAGAAAACACGTGAAACCATGACTTCCGTCGGTTTTGAATCGTAAACCACGGATGTAATAGATGTTAAACATTTGACATACGGCTAGTATAATAATTATTATTATGATAAGACAATGTGATACACCGAGGCTAATCGCTGTGGTATGGTTGTTTAAATGTCTACCAATCATAATAAATTGTTTTATCTTATACACTTCAAAGCCAAACATTGCTTAAGGATAAAACAAAGAAGTTAAAGTAATCTATTTTTAAGTATCATTAAATAAAAGCTGTTGGGACTATCTTCGTAGTTATTGTTTCGTCAGATAAAAACCTACAACAATTTCGATGACGTCGTCACATTCTTAATTCATTTCAATAAAGTTAATTGAAAATCATCTGTTGCCTGAAGTATGCTAGGCCTGCTTGATTTGTTTTCAAATACCCGTATGTTGTTTCTAAGTTTAAACATATTATAAGTTCCTAATTGTGGTGAAATCTTAAAACTTTTTACACACTTTAGAGTCTACATCATTGGAAAAATCATTATATGGGTCAAATACATATAAATGGTTGTGAAAATTTGAAACTTTTTAATTACACATTCTCGAGTCCACATTATCGAACAAATCATTATTTTTGCCATACACATGTACATATAAACAAAATATGGTTGTGAACCCAGTGGACTCGAATCCATAATCATTAGGTTGAGAAGCAGATACCTTGAGCGATAACCTAGTGGTTAAGGTGTTTGCCTCTCAACCCAGAGACTATGGGTTCGAGCCCTACTCGGGTCACGACCATGTTTCTTCATATGACACAAATACTGGTTGCTTCCAGGAAGCGGACTAGAAAGTAATTAATATAAGTTGCAAGAATTTGTTTCGCAATCGAGCATAAATAAATATGTTTAAACCATATACCTAAAGTGTTTTACAAAACAAACAACATTATTTGTAATTGGTTTTAATTACTCTAAGTGTAGCATTCAACTGTTTCTATAAATTCAACAAACTGAAAGCGGGGAAGTAATGCAACAGGGATGTTTGCTACACGAGTTAGTTAAACCAATTGTATTAACAAAGCATATATATCTATTGGACATATCCCCGTACAGATTATTTTCAAATCATACTAGATATGTTTGAAGTGCTTTAAGATTAAGAAAATCTTCTTTAATGTTATTATCTCTGTTATAAACAATTCTCTCTCGTTCCACTCTGACTATCTTACCAGACGAGTGTCAACCCTGGTATCAGTACTTGAACACGAGCATCATCTTCGATAACGGACAAATCAAACAGGACGAAAATCAGAAAGCAAGCGTCCAATAAGTGTGAAGTTTGCAATCGGAATGACCCTACGTACAAAGGTTGTATCAAATGTGCTCAGTGGTCGAGCACTTGTCTATCAGTAGCTACAAAAGTCGTTGTTTCATTGGAGATCAAAAATTCGGAACTGGTCATTGGTATTTGTGGTATAAAATCCCCAATGTCTCCAGGAAAGTATTTTAAACTTACATTGCACAATACAGAGGCACAATGCATATAAATATCCACTTATTTTTTAATTGATGCCAAAGCACAATCAGTCAATTGCAAAATGGTATATAGGCATTTAATAGTAACTTTTATTATTTATTTATTTATTTATTTATTCATTTTTAATATTATTTTTTTATATAGATTCTTTTTTATTTCCATTATTATCATGTTTTTATATCAAAGGTTCTAGCATTAAATTTTACTTGCTTAATAATCCTTGCTTTTCGTGAAACCATACGGTATATGTATACATTTTAATATATTATCTATTTGGAAAGGTCATTCAGACCTTTATAATAATACGGTTAAATTCTTTCTTTTCATAATATAACTACATATGTTTATGTTTTAAAACTAAATGTTATTTAAAACAAACTAAGAATGGAAGACAAGTTAAAAACGCACATGAACGGGAAAAAAAAAAAGAAAATAGAAAAAAATTTTTTGAGAATTTTTTTTGTATTTTTAAAATTGTTTTTAAATTTTATTCTTTTAGGGGAAAAAACAAAACAAAATGTTACATTTGTTCGTCTTTTGCCCGATTTTTTATAGCAGAAAACTTTTTGTTGGAATTTAAAACCCAC